TTTTTTAAAATAATATTTCTTTTATTCTAATAGAATGGCATAAAGAAATCAGAGAAAATGTCAATGGACAAAAACCAGTCGCTTAATTTTTATAAATATCTGTGTCAGAAAATTGGATCTGAGGTGGTTGTAAGAACTAGGAGAATCAATTCGATAATATGTGACATTGGAGCTGCAGAGCATAACAGAATAACTAGTGGAAGTAATGGCGAAGGACTAAATTTTGAAAGCAGCGACATAGACTTCATGTTTGTTGATGATATTAACTTAAAAGTGTATGAATCGGAAAAAAATGTAGTCCACAAAGACCGAATTATTCCTCTTATTATGGACATAGAGGATACTCAACCTTGTTTCACTAGGTTACGTTTTCTCAACGATCACTTTGTTACGTTACTGGTAAAAGCATATGCCCGTATGGTGTTGAAAAATGGTCGACAAAATCTGCTTTCAAGTGAATTGTATACATTGGAAAATTTGAAAAGATATGGACTTGCCACAATCGTTAAAATTCATGGTCCGTGTTTATCAGATCTGAATGATAGAGTTGATTTAGCATATTGTCTTAAATGTGACCAATGGCTATCTCTAGCTAAATCATGGATCACAAGACCACGTAAATGGCCTAATCCTGACGTTATTTCCAAAATTATATCATGTGGTGTTTTATTTGTACCAATAGGCAACAAAGGGTCCATATATGAACATATTGAGTGGCGAATATCTTTTTCAGTATCAGAAAAAATTATCATATTTTCTTTCAATCATACTCAGCTTCTATGTTATGCCTTAATAAAAATATTGCTGAAAGAAATAATTGAAAGCCATAAAGACTTAAAAGGTTTATTGTGTTCCTATTTCATAAAGACCATGTTATTTTGGATGACAGAAGAATCAACCCCGTCGATCTGGCAATCAGACAATATAATACCATGTTTTATGTCATGTGTAAAAAGACTGTTATACTGTGTACAATATTCAACCTTACTACATTATTTTATACCTGACAACAACCTGTTTTTTTCACGATTCAATAATACCAACAAACTCAAATTGATAAACATTTTAAACGATATATATAATAAGGGAATTCAATGTTTTTGCTGTACAAAAACCCTGTGCGATTATGGAAGACTATCGTATGAAATCTCGGAGCCAATTGGGAGAAACATTAGATTAATCGAAGAAATAATGCATACATTTCTTGAAGGTGCAAGTAATTTTGGTGGGAATAATATTCGACTGCTGAATAATTTACTGCATCATTCCAGGACACGTCTGTCAAGAGAAATATTTACTTTACAATTGTCCAAAGCATCCCAATGTGTTTCCAAGAATTCACAAAGACATCATGGAGAAAATAACAAATACCAGTATTTCAAGTATAAATATGATCTTAGCAATCTGCTAATAGGTTTAAGTACAGATGCAGTATCTGGATGGCTGTTGTTGGCCTCTTTCTTCTATGTTCACAAAAAATATTCAACGTCCCTCAGAATAATAGACCATGCATTGTCGAAATGCACTGATGAAAAGATTTATTTTCAGCCACGTAATTGCCCCTTTAGTCAGAAGCAGGAAAGCGTGCTAAATTTGATGAAACGAGAAACACTTTACACAGTTTTAAAATCACTAACTGTTCAAAATATTTTATTTAATGGGCTATCTTTTGTAATTCCACCAGAACTACAACTAGATGTGACATGGAATGGTTACGGTGCAGTATCGTATGCTCCTGTTTCGTTTGCACATTTCCTTAAGTTCTTGTGTCACTACAATCTACATGACGAATCATTGTGTTTACATTCTGTAAAGCAGTTAATATCGTCCGTTAGAACATGTAAATGGGGAGTAAGGCTCTTTTCTACTATACATTCAAAGATTTTTGCTGGCATAGCTTGTCAAATGCTTGGTGACTTAGACAATGCGAGATTTTTCTTCGTTGAAGCTTCTATTAGTGACTTTAACGTAAGCACTGCAAGATGCAGACTTTCGCATTTTTAGACTGATTTATATATACTTTGTAAATAAAAACAAGAAATCTTTAACAAACAAACACTAAGACAACCCACCATTTTTTCTTTAATTGTCCTGTACCAAGTCAGGAATATAGAAGTTGTTAGAAAATAGTCCCGGCGTTTCTATCAAGGATTTGTATTACGTATGTTGGCGTTTGTTTTTGTAGAAGTTCTAGGTTCCTATGTTTCTATAGATCCGTTGTTTTCCTCTTTTAGCTTATGTGTTTCTCTAGGTTTTGGTTTGTGTTCATTTATAGATTTATGACTTTTGAATACTGATATACTTCTGTTGCCTTTATTTTTGAATTAGAAATTAGATTAATATAATAATTCCCACCACATTTATTGATGGTACAAAGATTTCTAGATTTACCTTCGTCAGTCTCAAGATTCCCGGGCTTCACTTTAATGGTATCAATAAATATCCTTTCAGTAAAAATGGTGCTTGATATTTTGCACTGAGAATGACTCTTTAGAAGTACTGTAAATTCATTTTTGTTCGTGGCTACACATTCTTGTAAATCGAGGAGTAATTTATACTTCGTTGCACATTTAAATTCGTGAGTCACGTACATCTACTAGAATTTGGTATTCCACAAATAAGCAGTTCAAAAAGTATACATCTCCAGAGCCTGCATTTCTTATCATGATTTCCTTGATAGTGTTACTGATTACAATAAATCTATTCAAGCAAGGGTTTCAAGTATCGAAAATGTTACTGACGCCATAACGTGTTAGTTAACCTTTATGTTTCATTAGTGTCATAATCACAATACTGTCCTCTTTTCTTCTAATGACACATCAACAAATTAGACTTATCACAGAGCCTGCGCTTACCTTGCAACACTATAGTATTTTGGAAGAGGTAAAACCATTTCGGTAGCAAACCATTAACATGCCATGAGAGTATGATGAGCCTAGCTCTTTGGATAAGGCATTACATATAAGCTCACAAATATGATGTCCAATTATTTGTAAATGTAATTAAAATTCCAAACAGGTAAATAACACTATTCGAGGTTACAAATATTTTCCTTCAGTTGATTAAAAAAGTAATTAATTCCTGATAATGTAGGAAATGGGTTGCCGTTTTAGTTAGTAATTGCAGAGACATATATACATGTATATATGTCTCTGATAATTGAAGTTTCAGAGAGAGGCTTTATATTTACTGAAACAGTAAATATCATAATAGTTTTTACTCTTCGTTGTGTCAACATAAATATCAATTATATGGTAATTTTTATAATTTAACTGTTATCCACGGCATAGATTACCATAGCCGTATTTGGCGCAACTTTTTGGATTTTGGGTCCTCAATGCTCTTCAACTTTATACATGTTCCGCTTTCTAACTATTTTTATCTAAGGGTCCCTTGTGAGTCTGATGTAGACGAAACGCGCGTATGCGTCTGGGTAATCAAGACTAGCAAATTATAAGCCTGGTACTTTTGATAACTAATTACCAAATGGATAACAAAAGAGGGGCGAAAGATACCAGAGGGACAGTCAAACTCACAGATCGAAAATAAACTGACAACACCATGGCTAAAAAATAAAAAGATGAACAGAAAAATAATAGTACACAAAACACAACATAGAAAAACTAAAGACTAAGCAACACGAACCGCACCAAAAATTGGGGGTCACTGATCTCAGATGTTTTGTAAGGGTAAGCAGATCCTGCTCCACATGTGGCACCTGTTGTATTTGATTGTAATGATAACTGAACATCATTTCAAAAACAATTAAAAACCAATTGTTCAAAGAACAATTGAAGGTCTTTCCACATCAATTTTCTAAATAATTGATAGGAAGCTACTTCTGGTTTACTCAAAGTTATTAATAGAGTCAAAGTATAGATTTCTTCATACTGATTCAATAAATAAATGGTTTCTATATACTTTTGCCTGAAATAAGGGAGATAATTCTGGTTTAGAAAATGTCACTTCCGGTCTCATATGATAGCTTTATTCACACTGATTCCAAAAATATATAGTTTGTATATACCTATGCCTGTAATAAGGGAGATAATATGCTACTTCCGGTATATAAAATGTCACTTCTGGTCTCAAATGATAGGTTAACCTATGATCATTCAAAAAATATATGGTTTCTAGGTACTTTTCCATGAAATAAGTGCAAAAAATACTACTTCCGGTTCACTCAAGGTCACTTCCGGTTTACTTTTTTCAAGGTCATATGTCAACCAACAGTTTGCAAAAGACCCTATGGCTTTATCATGTACCAAGTTGGAGTAATAATCAATTAACCTTAAATTGAATCATTTCAGGGACAATAACTCCTATAAGATATCATTGGATTGTTTCAGACCAAATGTATCATATCTTAATCACAATTAAGCAAACATTTTGCACTAGTTCTTTAATTTGTAATTTTAAAAGTGACAGATGAGATCAAATAACAAGGAAAAGTCAAAATTTAGAATATGACCTTGACCTTTGACCTTGGCCTCAATTTCATTTAAATGAACCAAGGAATTTAAATCAATATACCTTAGGTCTCTTTCACTTACCATTCATGCTATACATTCATATATCCCTTATGTCAAATACAGAAGGGGAAATAACTCTCATGTGGAGTTTACGTATCGCTTCGGTCAAAATTGGACAAAACATCCTGAGGATATAACGAGCAATTTGGTAAAATAAATTTTTCCCTTTCTTTTATGGTTACGGAGGAGATGCACGAACAAGGAAAACAGTGTTCGGGAAGATAACTCCTACAAAGAAAAGTATTCAGTTAAGCAGGGTCAATTTCAAAGGCGCATAAACTGTTCGATATCATATACGAAACATCTAAGCGACATCTTACGAACAAAAATTTATCACTAGAACAAAATTTGGTGGAAGAAAAAGTTTAAGTTTAACTCTGGATGTCTCTTGTGGGTTTTTACAACAAAATATATGATAACATTGTCTCTCCTTAGCTACATTTGTGGCAATCAAGATAAAAACACTCATTAAATTAAAAGATTGGTTCATAGTGACAAGAAAGGAAATACAATTCATGTTGTTTAGTATATACACATATAAACATTTGTTCCTCTTTACTGTGACAAACTTCACTATAGTCAGAAATTAATATCAAGTATTGTTGTAAGATAAGAGACATGCTCATCAAGACAAATTTCTTCAGTTCTATCATTTTTCTTTTTCACACTCTTTTCTGTAGGTTGTCACATCTTTTAACATTGTTTCTAATCTTTCCTGAAATAGAAAATTGACAATTATTTCCTCATTTAAAAACATCTTACATTGTGAGCTGCAGAACAAAGTGTATAATGATTGCTTTGCATTTAAATAAGAACGTAAAACCTGCTTTAATTAAAAGTCGTCAATACAATAGATTTCGGCCACCACTGGAAAGTAATATCTATGTCTTGCATAGTGCTACTTTTGTCGCTGGCAAGACGATATTAAGTAATATCTTTCAAATGAAGTAAATGCCAAGCCAAACAATTTACTGAGACATTTCATAAACATACATGTAAATATACATAATAAACTACATGCTAATTTGCAAATTTCAAAATTACTAAATATAAAATGCTATTAAAAATCAAATAAAACACTCTTTTAGAAATTCTTTATAAAAAGTGATCAGTTGACTTCTTAAATAGAAATAAATATACATCTATTAAAATGTACACATGTTTTACGTATTTGTTTCTGGTCTTGAGCAGCTTTTTGTATGCTGAGTTGCACGCTTTGAATAGTGCACTGTCAATGTAACAGTTAACTTCAGAACTTATATATCATTTTTATGTCAGTCTTTGTTAAAATGTCCTCATTTTTATCTCGAATGCCTTTTGTTACTAAGTCAAAAGGGATCAAAAACAGAACTATAAAAAAAGTATGGCTGGCCATACTATTTTTCTTCTGATGCATTAAATCTATAAACTGTTATTTTCATTTTATAGAACTGACATGATTTATTCCACATTGGTCTTATACTGTCCCTTTATAAACTAAGAAATTATTCAGAAAGTTAGGTTCCAACTCCATAAGGCAAATTTGACCCTTGATAGACTTGGCTATCAACAATCAATCTTATTATTTTTACCTTTCAATAGACTTAAATGAATTCAAATACATTCAAGGCTTTTTACATTGAATAGACTGGTACCTAAGTTAGTCAATTTTGTAAGTTTAAGAAGTCAATATTTGCAAAATGTTGATTATTGTTAAATACTTTTTTCCTTACAGTAACTGACTGGGTAAATTCACATTTTGTTTAAAAAAAATAAGGAGAGACAATGAATAAAAACATACAAATTCATACCCCTATAAGTGAAAAACAAAATAAGTATAATCGACGCCAAAGATTAGCCTGATTATAGTTAAACAAAAATTCTAAGACAACAGTTGTGAGCAAAAACTACATTAATTTTGCTAGGATGATTTCCAACTGACTTGAACTAAATATTTCTCATGATGACCATGGTGAGCAGAAGAAATCTACATGATAGTATAAAAAAATTGACCAAATAATGGTCCCCCAATAAAGAGGGGGGTGGTGGGGGAGGGGGAGAGCAAGTACTAACCTGAATTTTGGTTTTATGATCAATAACTTCTTCTACTACTTTTCTCAAAAAGTCCAAGTACTGGCTCTCTTCCTTCTTGATCTCCCTTCTCTTTTGAGCTGCCCTGTAATTATACAGTATATATTCAAAAGCAATTTTTCAATTAACAGTCAAGACACAGGGCGGATCAAGCCATTTTCAAAAGGGGGGTGGGGGGGGTGGTTCCCAACCTAGGATAAAGGGGGGGAGGGGTTGTTTCCAACCATATATCCCCATTCAAATGCATTGATCGTCAAAAAAAAGGGGGTTCCAACCCCCCAACCCCTTGGATCCGCCACGGAGACATACAATTAATTAGGAATGTCTCTTTTTTCACTCTTATTAACTTTTCTAAAATAAGACTTATTTTCACTATTTAAATGATAACATTAATGATGGATGGCTGTTTAAAATCCACTGGCAAATTGAATGCATATTAAGGACAGAAGATGGTGATGTGATATGAATATGACCAGTGGCGGATCCAGAGGGGGGCGTAGAGGGCGTACGCCCCCCCTTTGCTTGAACTTTTTTTTTTTTTGTAAAATGATTAATCAGACTAGACTTCGTGAACTTTGCCATTACCCGGCCGTGTATTTAATTTTTATGCGACTATTCTTTACTTATAAAGATATTTTTCGCTCGTATTAACTGTAATATATTATTGATTATGTCAAAGTCATGTGATTCGCTACGGTGGAGTTGATCAGTACGTCGAAAAAAACGTCACTCAGTCATTTTGAAATTCAAATTACAGTAACACATTGCTTACAGCAGATGATGACAAGCATGACTCTTTCAAAGCGACACAGGATTGAACAAGAACCACGTATTGACTTCTATTTCACAATTCCACTCAACAGAAAGTAATACTCTATTACATTCTCATGAAAAAAAAAATTCCACAGCAATATTATTTACCTTCGAAAATATGTTTAACCCCAGACGCCCCAGCCAATTAATAACATTGCTGAATAGTGATCCCCAGTCAGTAAGCTCTAGATAGATTTAAAGTCTAAGGTACGGACCATTTGATTTTATAGGGCAGTCTGAGATATTTTAGTGAAACATTTTTGACCCTGATTTTTGCCTTAAACAAAAATTCTGGCCGTATATGTATTGAAAACAATTCTCGTGTCCCCTTTTTTGCTATCAGAAAAAAAAATCCAACAGAATTATTCAGCATTAAATGAACATGGTGATTAAAAAAACAGGCGTAAATTTTTTTGGGGGTTTGCATGTAAATCCCATATCTGACCGAAATGTCTGTTTCGCCGAACTGATATACTGAATACTTTTTTCAAGGCCCAACTGCAACCTGCCTGCTGGGTGTGGCCTTTATGTCTCCATTTGTCGACCGTCATACACAACTTCGTTGTCATTTGATTTTCAGGCTCATTCGTAGCCTTTGGTTGATTTGGGACCCCTCACTTCCCTTGTTGGGTGAAACATTTCAACCAAACATTTGGATAAAAAATGCTTGTTTGTCTTTGTTCGTGTCGGTCGTATTATAAACTTCGTTGAATAGCCGTATATCATCATACATGTTTACAAAAAGAAATCTGTGAGGTTATGCTAACTAACCATACAACAAACGAGAATTTTCCATGTCCATTTTTTACTGACAATTCCCACATCAAATATATTAGTACATAGCTTTGGATCCATTCAATCATTTTATAATAGACAATTAGGGGCTAGCTGAAGGACGCCTCCTGGTGCTGGAGTTTCTCGCTGCATTGAAGACCTATTGGTGGCCTTTGGCTGTTGTCTGCTCTATATTCGGGTTGTTGTCTCTTTGACACACTCCCCATTTCCATTCTCAATTTTAATTAATGGGGAGAATGCGGCATCAAAAGTGTCCAACCCTAGCTTACACTTTAACTATAAAATATACATGCCCCACGTCAGGAACCGTTAAAAATGTGCATTTTAGTTATTTTATGTTTTTTAGCCCCAAAAAGGTCTGAATACTACGCCCCCCCTTTCCAAAATCCTGGATCCGCCCCTAATGACCCCTACTTTGTATTAGACTGACTGACACTAAATGTGCAAGTCCACAAGGTAATAGTCCTCCTAAAGACATGTTATCCTACCCAGACACATTATATTGACCTCTAGGCCACCCAGTCTTTGCTCTTACTACTAAATCTGTGAGCTAAGCATAGGGAAGCAGCAAATATTAATTTTCAAGTCTTTGGTTTGAGCTGGCTGCATAACGAAACCACAAACTTCCTCACTCAAGGCTAGAACACTACCATGAGACCACCGAGGCTAGAACACTACCATGAGACCACCGAGGCTAGAACACTACCATGAGACCACCGAGGCTAGAACTCTACCATGAGACCAACGAGGCTAGAACACTACCACTAGACCACCAAAGCTAGAACACTACCATGAGACCACTCAAGGCAGTGATCACATAAAAGACAATGACAAAAGTTCAGTTTCTCTCTTCTTCTTCCATTTCACTTTTTTTCATATTCTGCCCTCTAGCTATAGTAAATTTTACTCCAATCAAGGAAACTTATATCAACAAAAACAAACATATCTTTAGGAATAAGTTTACAAAAAAATCTTACGATCAATTTTTTACCCAATTTAGTTTACTTATGACCAATTATCATTGTAAGATTTTTTGTGAAACTCATTCCAGATATATATCATTAAACTGTTATGTATATAGTTGCTGATGGACATTTCAAACAGGTGTAAATACTAATCTTTTACATTCTACCCTATAAGTATATATTTTTTAACAAGGTCTTTAATAATGGCACGAGGAAACACCAGTAGACTTTACAGCCTCAAAGGCCATTATAACTAACCAAGGATATATAACAGGGCCATTCTGAAATTTAAGCTTTGTGGCATATTGCAGGAAATTAGCATATATGTATTTCTTAGTAAGTTTCCAATAGATACAAACCATTGTTCTTTTTGTACTAAATCTTTTTTAGCATCAGGTACAGATGTTTTCCATTGGGTTTGCATTTCCATTATTTCTCGCTGCATTACTTCTTCCTCTTGTATTTTTATCTGTATTTCTTGTTGGTAATTCTAAAATCAAAAACTGTTGTTAAGGTCTATTCAGCATATTTTTACCCGGCAGGTTGCACTTTTTTATACCTCAACAACCATAATTTTTTTTATTTCATTTGTAACAGAATTGTATTTGCTTCCACTCCTTTTTCCTGCAGAAAAAATATATCATGTTGTCAAATCCTTTTATACATTTTTTTTCTGAAATAGCCCCACAGTTGTTAGCTTCCTAAAGTTTTGAGCTTTTCCATGAAATTTGTAACCGTCTGGCGCTTAAATAGACTATACTTAAATAATTTTTGCAAAGTAACCACTGTTTGATTTGATTTTTTTGGTGTTTTTACGCCACTTTTAAGCACCGCTTTTGGGCTATTTCGTGGCGGCCAGTTTTTATTGGTGGAGGAAGCCGGAGTGCCCAGAGAAAACCACTGACCTTCGATAGAAAAACTGACAATCCTAGTCAACTAAGATTGGAGCTGAGTGCACCCGCATGATCGGGGTTCGAACTCACAACCTCAGTGTTGACTGGCTTGTGATTACAGTAGTAACTACTTTGACCACTCGGCCACCAAGGCCCCAAGCAACCACTGTACCTTAGAATCATAAGTATTCATGGCGGTATCAATTTCATCAATTTAGTGGGTAGGGGGAATCCTAAATTTGATGTTTTAGTATGTTTAATAGTTTGATGTTTAACTTGATAGGAGCATATGATAAAACCACAAAGTTAGATACCATTGAAATAGGAATATTTGATAGATGTACCAACAAAAATAATAAAACTAGTCAGTCTGCGGTAGACTTGTACATGTAACTCATTTTGGAGATAGAGTTACCTCCCTTAGTCCTTCAGAAAGTCACATTTTCTTTTCTTTTTGATTTTCACTGGACTACAAAGCGCAAAAAGAGTGCAACAACAGTAAACATGTAAAAAATAAATTTGCCTCAATGTTGCCTAGAAATTGGTACACCTCAAACATACTTTTAATGAAAATAAATTAGTGTTTCTCCAGTATCTGATTCCCTTGTTATTTTACCTGTTCTTTAATATCACTTTTTATCTGTTTTTGTTATATTAATTTTTAATACATGATAATTCATAATGTTAATTTCGATGGTTTTTTGTCGAGCCTGCAACTTTTGTCGCAAAAGCGAGACATAGCGATTCTACATTCTGTTGGCTGCGGCGTTTTTCACAAATATTCACTCTGTGGTTAAAGTTTTTGAAATTTTAATAACTTTCTTAAACTGTCCTAGATTTCTAACAATCTTGGATAGAAGCTTGTTTATGATCATAAGATAGTATCCAGAAGTAAATTTTGTGAAAAAAAAATCCTGTTTATCCGTATTTTACTTATAAATGGACTTAGTTTTTCTGCCAGTTAACATTACATTCACTCTGTGGTTAAAGTTTTAAAAATTTTAATAACTTTCTTAAACTATCCTGGATTTGTACCAAACTTGGACAGAAGCTTGTTTATGATCAAAAGCTAGGATCTAGAGGGAAATTTTGTAAAAATTTATTTTCTATTTTTCTGTATATTACTTATAAATGGACTTAGTTTTTCTTCCAGTTAAAATTACATACAGTCTGCAGTTAGTTTTTAAAACATTTATTAGATTCATAAACCATCCTTGGTTTTTCCAAAACTTGGACAGAAGCTTCTTACAATCATAAGATAGTATCTAGGGGAAAATTTTTAATGATTTTTTCCCCATTTTTGTTGAGTCTACGACTTTAGAAAACATAGACAACAGCAAAAGTAGGCGAGACACTTACAAATTTTTTAAATGTTTAATAATTTTAAATATTTTATAATGTTAATTTTGATCTTTTTTTTTTTAAATGTTGCATTTTACATATTTTTAAATGTTAATTTTAACCTATGTTTACCTCTGCTACTTTATGCTTAATTCTTCCTATTATTCAATGTAAATTTTTACCTTTTTTTTTTAAATATTAATTTTTACCTTTTTTTAATATTAATTTCTTTTACTTTTTCTTTTAACATGTTTAAGCTAAAGGACAAGGTTCACTTTTGGCACAAAATGGCCTAAAATATCAACTTTATCATAAAACACCAAAAAGGTCACAATTTGGTTCGTAAATGGGTCTATTTCAAAAGCCTTAATGCTAAATAAATCAGTTCTTTTCATAAAAGTAAATAATATTTTCCAAAGTTAGCACATGTTGGACATTTTGTCAAAATATGATGATTTTGTGCAATTTTAAGACCTAAAAGCTTTAGGAAAACATTGGCCGCCACCTACGATCCAAAATGTTTTGTAACCAAAAGATTCCAATTTTGATATAGAATTCATCTACATAAAAACTTTTTGGATTGTTGATGGAGGCCAAGGTTAATTATGCCAAAAACAATTAAAATTATGGAAATAATTTGCCAAAATTGACCTTAAAATACAAATAATGTTTATTTAAGGGGTCATAACTTAATAAATTTTAAAGGAAGGTGCCAAAAAATATATTTTTGTCTTAATAGTATTATCATAAGGATTTCTATGTGAAATTTGTAATTTTTTGACCCGATTTAAAAAAACATCAAAAATTTAGGGCCAATTTTAAACATTCGTGAACCTTCTCCTTTTACATATTTTTCAATGAAAATTTTTACCTGTTTTTTAATGTTAATTTCCTCGTCTATCAGTTTGATTTTTTTCTCCACAGAATCCGCTTCATCTTGACACTCTGCTACATATTCTGTTAACTGGAAAATAAGCAGTAAAAATCAAGGCATGGGTAAAAAGTATCATAAAAGTAGTGTTAGTGTTGTTAGTCACAGCCCTTTAATGAATTTTTAACAGACACATTAATATAATAAACAAATGTTGACCCATTTTTTTGTAAAATTGATGTCAGGCAAAATTACTTGCAGAAGGTTAATTGGTTTATGGAAGGAACTTAGAAATCCCTTCATACTCTCTTGTCATACAAGTGAGAGGTTTAACTAGCTATAAAACCAGGTTTAAGGTGGATTAGGTGGGTGGGGGAGTCTTAATTAGAATCCATAGAATTTTTAAATAATTTGTCAAAATGTAGTTTTATCATGTTTTTTCAAAAATATAAAAATATAAAAAGGTACAGGAAGACACCCAAGCCACCTTAATCCACCATTTTCTACATAAGGAAATGCCTGTACCAAGTCAGGAACATGACAGTTGTTTTCCATTTGTTTTGATGGGCTTGAGCTTTTGATTTTGACAAATGATAAAGAACAAACTGTTTTGAATTTTCCTTGTAGTTGGTATTTTTGTTATTTTACTTTTTAATGAACAGCCCTAATCAAATTATTTTTTCTCATCCTAGGTGATAGTGGGGATAAGATACAGTCAAACCTAGTTTAAGAGACCTATCAAGAGAGAAGGCAAAAGTGGTCTTTTCATACAGGTGGTCTTTGAATAGAAGAAAGCCTTTGTGTGCATTATAACTGTTAAACTTGCTAGTGTAAGTAAACAATACTGTATTGGTCTAGCTTTGAGGACATGTTTGAATAAGCAATTGTTGAACTTTAAAATAACAAGCATTCTGTGAGTATTGCATGGCAATACATAGTCCCCTACCAGTTAAAAATTTATTGTATTGAAACAAAATTCTAACTTGATCTATAACTTGTCATGGTGTAAACTATATAACAAATATCAAGTCAATATCTTCAAGCATGACGAAAAAAGTGTGGAAAACCTGGGACTATTATACTAACGGGACTGGAAACCGTTACACCAATCAGTGTAATAATACTCAACATCACGGTCGTTAGAACGAGACCATAAAACTGTTGATAAGGGATACGCGAGTTGGTTTGTTGTAAAATCATATTTATAGGTTATAGGTTGGATTGGCCTATTTTTATTGTCACTTTTTAAAGTGAAAAGTGGAATATAAATCTCCTTCTCATTACAAACGGAAACCACATGCAGGGCTCAAATAAATTATACTGTTCCTATAAAATTGCTTACTCTTATTTATAGGTGCAATATTTGTATTAAAATCAGGGTGTTTTTTGCTTAGTAATGGTCTTCAGGTGGCATAAGCATATGACTTCGTGAAAATATGCACAATAGGTTCCACAATCAGAACTATAAAAGTAGGCCCTTTCACAGCTATTGCTGCCATATTGAAATTCAGGTGTAAACACGAAATTTAGAAAAGTTCAAAACAATGTGACTATATTTTTATGAGACTTGGGTAACTTTTGCTATAGGGATTAATTATGAACTGAAATTGCCAACATTGTTTTTATTATTGCACACTTATTGTTTTTATTAGGATTAATTATGATCTGTTAACCTTCGACACATTGTTTTCTTAGCGGTCAAGTAAAGCGCCGGCATTTCTACTATATTTGTTTTATTTTCAACACTAATATAATGACTACTTATAAATAATTTTTCGTAAACAATAAGAAAAGTATTTATCTTTCAAAACTACTTTGACGAATAAGTTGAAATAAAGAAGAACTTGTCCCAGTTTCAATCGGCATTAGTTTATCCCCGTGTGAAAACATTATTTCAAGTAAATGTATTTAATTTGTTAAAATAGTTTTATTATTCATATATTTTTATTTTTTGCATTTAATTGTTTTTTTTTTTTAATTTCAAATTCACCAATTTTAACGGTATTCTATATATGCTGACTTGTTTGCCGAAATCTATTGTTTACATGTACAAAAGGCTTATTAACCATGTGGCACGATAAGCTGTCAATCAAAACAAAAAATAAATAATCCGCTATCGGGACATTGAAATCTCAACAGATCGATCAGTTTCCAGTCCCATTAGTATAATAGGCTCAGGGAAAACTGATTATTTTAGTGAATTTTCTAAGTCAAAGAACCATAATAGATATAGGAAGATGTGGAATGAGTGCCAATGAGACAACTCTCCATCCAAGTCACAATTTATAAAAGTAAACCATTATAGGTCAAGGTACGGTCTTCAACACGGAGCCTTGGCTCACACCGAACAACAAGCTATAAAGGGCCCCAAAAAATTACTAATGTAAAACCATTTAAACGGGAAAACCAACGGACTAATCTATATATAAAAAAAAAAAAAAAAACAAGAAACGAGAAACACTTATGAACCACATCAACAAACGACAACTACTGAACATCAAATTCCTGACTTAGGACAGGTGCAAACAATTGCAGCGGGTTTAAACGTTTTAATGGTACCAAACCTTCACCCTTATCTGAAACAATAGTGTAACATCACAACATAGAAAGACACACTATAAAATACCAATTGGAATGGCTTAACTCAATCAAAAGACGTAGTGACCAAATGAACAAACACTGAACGAGTAAATTTGATCTATGATACAATGTAAATACAAACAGTGATTTTGCTAGCGCTCGTCACTTTCGTAATTTACGAAACTGTTTTCAAAATGACGAAAGTATTTCAAATCAATTTCGTCACTTAAATTTGGAAAGTGTAAAAATATTTTCGCATGAAAATACTATAATTCTACCTGTCTACATGTTTCTGACAAGTGTATGACCCTTAGCTAATTAACATTTACAACAGGTGTGATTACACCTAATCCGCTTATCGCCATCGGATGGGTCACTAATCCGGTTAATTATTTTCCCCAGTAAAATTAGTCAGGCAGCATTTTAATTTCAATATTTCTCAAGGCCAACGACCACAATTTGCAGTTTGTTTTGTCGTAGTTTCGTCATTTGAACAAAATTGTTTTCCCCCGGACAGTTCGCTTTTTAATTTCAATATTTCTAAAACGATCATAATTTGCAGTTTGTTTGTCGTAGTTTCGTCAAATGATCGTGTTTTCGTCATCTTTCATATAAAACGTTCAATTTCGATTAAAAAGATAGAACTTTATTCAAAACGTTCAGAAATAATTTCACGTTAAAAACTTCCATCGTCATCAACGAGTCAAACAGGTACTTCCTTTACGATATACTGCGCATGCGTGAAAGTATTCCTATGAATTTATAGACACTAAAACGTAAAATACGAAATAAATTTAGTGCCAAAATAAATGAGAGAGACAAATATAGTTCTTAATAAGCAAATTGAAATAAAAAAAATTATGATTTCCTACCTTTTTTTAAACATTAACCAATACGTAGATGAATCCGGATTCATTCTGAATTTATTATCCACTTGTCACTTCCTGTTTACATTTCATTTGAAAATTGAACGTAAACGTGATCAATTCTTGATTAATTTACAATTTACAGTTATTGGAATCGTTCCATGTGAATTTGTACAAATCCATTGTTCCAACTTTATAGAAATTAATTCAAAATATCAATTTAAACGTTTTATAAGGATAATGATTATACAGCGTAATAGTCTTACAAAGTTGAACAAGTTCATTTATACTGTGATTCCTGAACCCAACTTTTGTTGATCAGGAACGTACCCTGAAACTAATTGAAGTAAAATTTTGAACTATTTTCAGATCTTATATCCTAATCTTCATATTTAAGTGACACATGAGTCAAATCATGCAATTACTGCCTAGTAAATTGATGCCTTAGTCCTTCAAAGTCTGACAAAGATGTATAGCTAGTAATATACATACATCCTTGGTCCCTTGCTGTTACCCAAAACAATGTTGATTTTCATCTCGCGCAAAAGTGACTAAAGCACTCAAAATTCTAGCCTAAACCCTGATACAAAGTTATTAAAATAAGGGATGAATAATTATAGTAAAAGTATTATACCGCTGTGAAATGCTAAACAATTTTAGAAAAACATCAGCTTTGAAAAAAATTACGCCATTTGTAATATCAAAATTAAACACAGGTAAATGAAAATAATTTTGTAGATAAGTATACTTCTTCTTCTGTCTGTATAACCTTACGTTTAGGAACACTAAGAAATTTCTTGTATAACAATTAAACTATTCTAAAACTTGGTAAATGTGGGGTGAATATCAACAATTAAACTACAAAATTTGTGCTCGATAAAACTTCGTGTTCTTCGTGTACAGGTGCCGAATGTGTTATGTATATACAGTATAAAAGGAGAAAGGAAATAATTTTGATGTTCATAGTACCAAGAAGTGAAAATTTATAGTAATTCCAAACACTTATCAAAGCTGGTATATAGACCAGATATAAGTTAACATTAAATAACAAAAAATCATTACAAATAGTATCAACTGGTCAAATTTAACATTTTGAATAATGCAATAAATCACGAACTTTTCTTTATACAAACAAAAAGTCTTACACATAAATTTCAAATCTCTCTCAAAATTTGTATATTAAGGCAAAAAACTAGACCGATGGTGTACTGCTTTTGTACAATCCAAGATGGTGGTATACAGTGAATCTACCTTAAGTGAGGTGACCTTGGAATTGAGATCCAAAATGCATAGATATCACTACAGCAGGATAAGAAGATGGTGACCTGACCAGACAGATTTTTGATCAATAGAGGTGACCTTTATAAAAATTTTGACTGTACAACTTTAAACAAAGACTTCGAATGAAATGACCTTAATGTACTAACCTGCTCTAGTGAATCAAGATTGGTGATTTTTTCTGATGTTTTCTTTATGATGGTATCCTGACACTGTTTACTACACTTGACAACAGCAGGCTGAAATAAAGTCAGGTTTCCTAAATCTTATCAAAAAATATTATTCATTTTCAACTTATATCACAGAATGAGACTGATCACCGAATTTGTACTTACCATCAGACACACGAAAAGTAGCACTAGTGAAGCAGGATCTGCTTACCGCCCGGAGCACACGAGATCCCCCCAATGTTTGGTTCAAATTGCTCAGTCTTTAGTTGTCTATGTAGTGTTCTGTAGACATGTTTGTCTTTTCATTTTTTGCTATACTTGTCAGTTTATTAGTTTTTTAAGTCCCCTTGGTATGTGCTATCTCATTCTTTTTGGATATATCTTTACATTGTCATGTTTGTGTTTTAAACATAGGTTGAATAGCAATAAAGTGGCCTTGACAAAAGCTGTTTGTCAGTTTTTGGGTTTCTTTAAATGTATTTTTTTTGTTTGTTTCAAAGACTGTAGACAACAATTGCTGTCTGCAAAAAGATTGGTCATAGCAACATTCAAATCCATGATATACACGTGCTGTAAAATCTAGAATTACGGCGACAACACAATCTGTAAATTTTTGAATATATACTTCAAGTTTTAATCTACTTCACAAAAATATTACATTCTATTTAAACTTCTATATTATTTTAGAATTTAATGACATGGATGGATTTAGGTTGTATGGGTACATTACAAGGCCATGGTCTGGAATAAAAACATAATTAAAATCTTCCAGATGATGTGATAATCACTTAAATTTTCCAATCAAATCTTACCTTGATTACATCTCTAAGCCGTTCTAAAGCACTGGCATCCAAGAAACCAATCTGAAAGTCAACGTCTGATGACTTTAACAGCTGGGCTAGTTTATTATATTGTAGTAAGCTCTGTTCAAACTGAAATTAGACACACATAAAATTTAAAGTACAACTTCACACTAGATTCAGACCAATGGATTTGATTGATCTGTTGTTGGTGTTGAACGTCACTCTAAGCACTCTTGGTTATATTGTGGTGGTCAGATTTTATCGGTGGAGAAAGCGGGGGTGCCAGGACAAATTGTATTTTAACACTCTTTTTCAGTTTTCCCTCAGGCAAAGTTGACCTTAGATGGATTTGGCTATTTTTTTAGGGCCTTTTTGGTAATATAGCTCTTCAAACTGTTTCGGTTCTTGTACATCCTTGGCTTTCTAATATTCGGCTTTGAGCGTTCCTGATGAAGGTAAATCCAGAAAAGCGCTTCAGACTCATGAAATTTATAATGTGTTGTTTTTATTTTTTATAATTCTCTTTGTGAAGTCAAAATTGTATGTGAATGTCTGTGATATTTGAAATGACAAACAGACAGATTTGAATGTGTCTTGCTCTATTACAAGATGTACATCATTACACATGCCTTCCATCAAAGGAAATAAAAAGCTTTCAGTAAATGTCAAAATTTACAGGAACATCTGTGGCATCTAGTAATGGCTGACAAACAATGATAATGTGTATTGCTTTATTGCAAGATGAACATGATTGCATATGTCTCATCAAACTGTATAAAAGGCTTTCAGTAAAATTTTGATGTCACAATCTTGAATAAAAGACTTTCAGTAAATTTTTGAGTCACAATCTTGAATAAAAGACTTTCAGTAAATTTTTGATGTCACAATCTTGAATAAAGACTTTCAGTAAATTTTTGATGTCACAATCTTGAATAAAAGGCTTTCAGTAAATTTTTGATGTCACAATCTGGAATCAAAGATTTTCAGTAAATATTTGAGTCACAATCTTGAATAAAAGACTTTCAGTAAATTTTTGATGTCATAATCTTGAATAAAAGGATTTCAGTAAACTTTTGATGTCACAATCTAAAGTGAATGTCAGTATATCATCTGAGGTATATCTGAGGTATATCTGAGATGAGAAATTTGTATGCAAAAGTGGTAGCAGACTACGATCCTTTTGTTGAACTCAGGGTGAGTAAGAATACGTTTAAATCATTACGATGAAAAATTGTGATTCTTAAAAAACAGTTTCGTAAATGTTATTTTCACATTGGAAAATTAAAGGTATTTGTATTACACATTTTCACAGTTAATATATTTTCCTAAAACTCATTTTCACCAAATTAGTATTCTTGGATATCTTCTGATATATAACAATTCTTACTTTAAACCTTTTTTTCTTTGCCATTTCATTGCACTAAAGAAAGACAACTGGTAAAATTGTACTTAACATTGTGTGCCTACAGACAATTCTTGCAAAACCATGAAAAGTGAAGTAAATACATGAAGATTTTGCTCACAGAAAAGACAGCTCTTGAAAAATCACACCCTATAGGTGTAATACCACCAAATCATAGTACGTCACATCCGGTTGCATACGAAAATAGGTCGAAAAAAAATATTCCCTTGAATTTGACAGTTGTAGGTAATTGATCCTACATTTCATTGCAGTAAAACATTTCTGAGTCATAAACATATATCTTGGGTATTTCAAAGCACCATTATTTCTTTATTTGGGGTTTCTATAGAATATTTTGGAAACTTGAGGTTACATGGTTACTAAAGCTTGTACACAGGTTAAAAAAGGGGGAAAATTTGATTGGTTAACTTCCAGTGATGGTTATTTTCTTATATGCAATGAAATGTTATGTGAAATTTTTTCTATAGTACTGGACAGGATAAAACTTTACTCATGCCAAGTATTTCTTTATTTGAAACAAAGATAAATTCTGCACAATTTTTTGAAAAGTGCAAATTTAACAAAGACTAATAGGGGAAAATCAATGGTGGTATTACACCTATAGACGGAGCATCTATTACCAACAAAGACAACTCTTGCAAAACCATGTAGAGTGAAATACTATAAATTAAATGCCCCCCAAAAAAAAACCTCCTGCCATACCCTACAAAAGAGAGACGAAAGACACCAAAGGGACATTCAAACTCATAAGTCGAAAATAAACTGACAATGCCATGACAAAAAAAAAAAAAACAAAAGACAAACAACAGTATTCAAAACACAGCATAGAAAACTAAAGACTGAGCAACAAAACTTAACCAAAAACCAGAGGTGACCTCAGTTTCTTCATAAGGGTAAGCAGATCCTGCCACACATGAGGCACCTATCATGGTGCTCATGTAAGTACAAACCCAGTGATAAGTCTTAATTCAGTAGGTCACATTCAGGGAAAAGGGGACATAACTTTTGACCAGGATTATTCACCTTTTCTCTCTCCTTGGAAAGTTTCATCTCCACACTCCAGATGTCCTGGTCCACACTTGCCCCTCTATTCTCCATCTCATCAATCTGACGTTTTAACTCCATGCCACTAGCCTTGATTCTATCAATGTCTGCAGAACTAAACTCTTGAGTCTCGTAAATTGACTTCATTCTCTGTAACTGGTGTAAATATTCATCATATTCTGCAGCTGTAATGCAAAATATTTCAATACATATATTCTGTAAAAGTCATTTCTAATTAGGGGGGAACTTTTCGTCTTTATCAGGTTAGAAATCATGTATTCCTCGTGTCCCTTGATTAATGCTGCTTATATAATTCTATGCTTGGCAATACCTTTATTTGCATATAAGGTGAAGTTATGACCTTAAAATCAAATACAATTTCAACTACCTCAGATTTTCAGAATTAAATGTCATTGTATGAAAAGAATGCTTGTTTGGTAAAAAAAACTTATCCTTTTCATGAGTTATCATGTACAGCCATTAAATGACACTAAATTCAGTAAAATGGCAAAATAAGACAAAATTCTAACTAAGTGTCTGGTATTTGTTTGTATAATTCTAACAAAGTTACCAGTATTTGTCTATAATAGATGTCTTTCAAGTTCATGCATTTTCCTGTACAATACTCGTGTTATTACTTCACAGTAATAAACTGTTAACACAGAAATAAGTCTCGCCTATTTGTTATTTTGATAATGCAAATTTTGAATTAAAATAGCAATACTTTAACATGTAAGTTATGCAAATATTCAAAATCAATGAACCATGACTGAAGGTACAGGGCTATACAATCTCCATGGAAATGAGATGTGCCAATGCTAATACAACTGCATACCAAATACCATTGACTTTTTATAAGTAGTTCCCTTTAAACAAACCTCAAAACAAACATAAACTTGTAAACTATGTAAAAGTTTCAAAGTCAATGAACCATAATGAGGGGGTGGGGTTATATAATCTCCATGGAAATGAAACTTGCAAATACCAATACATTTGCATACCAAATATCATTGACTTAACATTAGTGGTTCATCTTAAACTGACCTAATCACAAACTAATACATGTAAACTAAGCAAAGTTTCAAAGTCAATAGACCATGACTGAGGGGGCGGGGCCAAATAATGTGATAATGCTAATACAACTGCATACCAAATATCATTGACCTACCACTAGTGGTTCACCATAACTTAGACCTAATCACAAACTAATACATTGTTGACGCCGCCACCGCCAGAAACAGCATACCTATGTCTTGCTTTTTGACTCCGTCAAGTCGAGACAAAAACTGATTGTTCAATAATATCATTTTCACCAAATGACCTCAGATCAAGAGGTATAACTCTTTCAAATAAAATCTCCAGATTGGTCTAATCATAACCAAGTAATCTATATTTGCGTATAATTCTAACCAAGTTACCTGTATTTGTGAATAATTCTAGCCTAGTTACCTGTATTTGTGTATAATTCAAGTCTAAATACCTGTATTCGTATGTGTATCCTCTGCCTCTTTGTAAACAATTTCTTGATTTTGTCTGTGAATCTCTAATTCATTGAGATAGGACTCAAATCTCTGTATATCAGACTTTAGAGAATGCTCTTTTTCTTGTAAACTTCTTAATTTATCCTGAAACAAATTTCACATGATTAATTCATACTACAGCCGGAAAGATTTTGCTTTATTCTCCCATCAACAATAGGTTGACTTACACATGTAACTCAAGTTTTCATATTTTTTTTATATTTATAAAACTATTTACTACTGTTTATACAAATGCTTTTGTATTGTTTTTTTTGTCTTTTTTCGTATGAACTGGAATTATAAAAAATAAAAGAAGAATGTGTCAGAGGACAAGAATGCCCCCGCTCATGCTTGCTTTTCAAACTAAAATGGGACGAAAGGAAAGACATCACGGGAAACACTTAATGCCCTCTTCGCCTTACGGAGGGGGCATAAAAATAATATGAATCTACTGTAAATTCAGAAAATTTTAAGCTGTATTTTTTACTGGTAAAATTGGCTATGAAATAGGTGTCATAAAAATTAAAACTTGCATTTTTAATTCTGGCAGCATTTCATGAAATTCCAAAAATTTAACTAGCATTTGTATCAATTGTAAAACAATCACAATAATATGCAAGCAATAATTTCTGAATTTACAGTATGATAATGTGATTACAGTATAAACATGTAATCTTCTTAATAAGTAGTGAATAACTAAGACAACAGGAAAGTCAGTTTTGTATAAAGCCATAATATTAGACCATATTGTATCTGTATACTCCGTTGTCTACATCTAACTCAATCAGGTCAAAATATTGGAGCGCAAATTGGTTGATATTCGTGTTTCTCAAACCAAATTTAAACATAAGGTGCAAACAAATGTGTAATGAATTAATCTAGGCTTAAACAAAAGATAATAGTTCAGAAAACAAGTTGTTATAGTCTAGCAACCAGTATAGCAAGTTCAATTTGTGCACCCTATCCATCCAGCAAAGGGAAATAACTCAATCATAATAGACACTATTTGTGTACTTTTGTCAAGTTCACTTACGCTATCTTGTTCCAGAACCTCAATTTCTTGTAACAACCTTCTATTTTCATTCTCTAAAGTCTCTTTCCCTCCAGATATACCATAATATTTCTGTTCTGAAAACATAAGTAAGAACCCAATATAAAGAGTCCTAGTAAGGGTTATTCTATTCTAAAATGGATGTGGCAGGATAGAAGGAAAGTTTTATTTTCGGACATGAATGGTCAGTCCTTCATAGTTGTTGTCCATTTGATATATGCAAAACTCAAAAAGAGTGTGTTTGTTGTTGGGAATCTTTGGAAATCCTGTCCTACCCTACCACATCTGTTTTAATGGAACAGCCCAGATCAACAACCCCAAACAGTATAATCTGCCAGGTATGTACATTCGGTAAAGTTGAAACCAACTATTTTCTACATAAGGAAATGTCTGTACCAAGTCAGGAATATGACAGTTGTCTTCCATTCGTTTGATGTGTTTGAGCTTTTGATTTTGCCATTTGATAAGGCATGTAAGGGACTTTCGGTTTTAATTTTCCTTGGAATTCGGTATTTTTGTTATTTTACTTTTTATGAGATGTGCATGTCAACTGTTTATCAAATATTCTTTCACTTTTTGTCATGTCAGGGACTTTTATAGCGGACTATACTGTTTGGATTTTTCTAAATCAACACTTTTCCTACAAGGTCAAGGATCTGATGACACTCAGTTCTATTTCTGTATTTCAATCAGATTGGGAAACACTCAAATGACTTAAGTTAAAGGTTATCCATAACTAATAACCTATTTAAAACAAACTCCTTTTACAATATAGCAAACTTTCAAATGTTAACAAATTCACTGTCATGATTTCAAATTTATGTTTTACAAGATTCAGTACGTATGAATATTATGTTGAATCATAATATAGGAAATAGTTACCTACATTTAAAAAACATGCAATCAACAGGCCCTTCCATGACAGTTAATCTTTAATGAGTATGAAACCTTATTTAATTGAATGGATAGATTTTTATAGTTTGTTCTTATGTTGTGCAGGTTATGGGAGGGTTGATCACTTCCAAACATGTTATCCACGCCACAATCTTTATGTGACTGTCCCAAGTCAGATGCCTGTAGTTTAGTGGTTGTCGTTAGTTCATGTCTATCCTGTTTGTTTTTTTCGTACATTGTTTTGTTATAAATTAGGCCATTAGTTTTCTCAATTGATTTGTTTCATATTTTTCATGTCAGAGCCTTTTAAAGCCGACTATACGGTATGCGTTTTTCCTCATTGTTGAAGGTCTAATGGTTGCCTATCATTACTTACATCCACTTCATTTTACTTTTGGTGGATATTTGACTCATTGGCAATCATACCACATCTCCTTTTTTTTTTATTGTGTGTAACATCCAATGGAAAAAATTACTTTTTCATCAGGACTGAAACATGTTACCGTGAAATGAATATAAATGTGAACCCTGCTTTGTACTAGACTGACACACTTATAACTTTTAACATCCTAGTAACAGTTGGCAGAAACACATTATTCGGAATCCAAGCCACAGTCGTTCCTCTTACTCCCTAAATGCTTGGTAAGGAGAGAAGCAGTAAATCTTACTTAAAACATCAGCCAGTTTATCATCATATTCTTCAAATGTATCTTGTCCTCTCATGTAGGCCACATATGTAGACTCTATGTAATCAAACTCTATCTAAAAACAAAATAACAAACAGATATACATTAAGGTAACAACCATGAAACTCTGAGCCTCTAAAAGAGGGGGGTTATGGTTTTTTTACTATAAAAGAAGAAACAATTATTCTGATTTAGAGTATTTGCCAAATTTAATGTTAAGTTCTCCAAACAAGAGGCTCTCAAGAGCCTGAATCGCTCACCTGTATTTCAGAGGAGAAGATTTTGAAATGTTAGCAAACTTGATGAAAAAATTGTGTAAAATTGTCTTTAAAGGGCAATAACTCCTTAAGGGGTCAATTGACAATTTTGGTCATATTAACTTTTTTGTAGATCTTACTTTGCTGAACATAATTGCTGCTTACAGTTTATATATATATCTATAATAATATTCAAACTAATAACAAATAAACTGTTATCACAGAGATATGTCTCGCCTTTTTGTAATTTTGATAATGCAAATGTTGAAATTAAAATAGCAATACTTTAACATGTAAGTTATGCAAATATTCAAAGTCGATGAACCATGACTGAAGGTACATGGCTAAACAATCTCCATGGAATGAGATGTGCCAATGCTAATACAACTGCATACCAAATACCATTGACTTATCATAAGTCGTTCCCTTTAAACAAACCTAAACACAAACATTAACTTAAAAACTATGTAAAAGTTTAAAAGTCAATGAACCATGATCAGGGGTGGGGCTATATAATCTCCATGGAAACGATACTTGCAAATGCCAATAAATTTGCATACCAAATATCATTGACTTAACATTAGCAGTTCATCTTAAACTGATCTAATCACAAACTAATACATGTAAACTAAGCAAAAGTTTCAAAGTAAATAGACCATGACTGAGGGGGGGCCAAATATTTTCTGTGGAAATGAGATGTGCTAATGCTTATGCAACTGAACACCAATTAACATTGGCCTACCACTAATGGTTCCCATTGAACTGACCTAATCACAAACTAATACATGTTAACTTAGCAAAATTTTCAAAGTCTATAGACCATGACTAAGGGGGCGGAGCCAAATAATCTCCATGGAAATGAGATATGCTAATGCTTATACAACTGCATACCAAATATTATTGACCTACCACTAGTGGTTCCCCATAAATTGACTTAATCACAAACTAATACATGTAAACTATGAAAAGTTTCAAAGTCAATAGACCTTGACTGAGGGGGCGGGGCCAAATAATCTCCATGGTAATGAGATGTGCCAATGCTTATACAACTGCATACCAAATATCATTGACCTACCACTAGTGGTTTCCCCCAAATTGACCTAATCACAAACTAATACATGTAAACTATGAAAAGTTGCAAAGTCAATAGACCTTGACTGAGGGGGTGGGGCCAAATAATCTCCAAGGTAATGATATGTGCCAATGCTAATACAACTGCATACCAAATATCATTGACCTACCACTAGTGGTTCACCATGAACTAGACCTTATCACAAACTAATACATTGTTGACGCCATCGCCGTCTCCGACGCCGGAAACAGCATACCTATGTCTCGCTTTTTGACTCCGTCAAGGCGAGACAAAAACTGCAAAATTTTGTTAAAACTACCAATTCGGTGGCAGCAACCCAACCATGGGTTGTTCGATTCGTCTGATAATTTCAGGGCCGATAGATCTTGACCAATGAAACAATTTACCCCATGTCACATTTGCTCTAAAAGATTTAGTTCTTGAGATATAAGCCAAAAACTGCATTTGACCCTTATGTTCTATTTTCAACCATGGCGGCCATGTTTGTCTATGGATACAAACTTGGGATACAATTTATAAACAAGATACCCTAAGGAACATTTAGTTAAAGTTTGAAGGTAATTGGCCCAGTAGTTTCAGAGGAGAAGATTTTTAAATGTTAGCAAACTTGATGAACAAATTGTGTAAAATTGTCTTTAAAGGGCAATAACTCCTTAAGGGGTCAATTGACAATTATGGTCATATTAAATTTTTTGTAGATCTTACTTTGCTGAACATTATTGGTGCTTACAGTTTATATATATCTATAATAATATTCAAAATAATAACAAAAAACTGCAAAATTTTGTTAAAACTACCAATTCGGTGGCAGCAACCCAACAATGGGTTTTCGATTCGTCTGAAAATTTCAGAGCTGATAGATCTTGACCAACTGAACAATTTTACCCCCATGTCAGATTTGCTCTAAAAGCTTTAGTTTTTGAGATATAAGCCAAAAACTGCATTTGACCCCTATGTTCTATTTTTAGCCATGGCGGCCATGTTTGTCGATGGATCAAAACTTCGGATACAATTTATAAACAAGATACCCTAAGGAACATTTAATTAAAGTTTGAAGGTATTTGGCCCAGTAGTTTCAGAGGAGAAGATTTTTTAAATAGTTCACAGCGACAGAAGACAATGACGACGACGGACGGCATAAGCTCACATGGGGCCCTTTGGGCCCCGGTGAGCTAAAAAGTCAATGCTTCCTAAGACAAAAAAATATTATGCTGGCTTTGTACAAAAAAAACTTCAGACTGAAAAAAAACACAAAGTTAAATTGTATTTCCCTAACCAAAGGTCTGTAACATTAATTCTCAAATTAATTGCTTGCAACAGCATAAGACTCCAGTCTGAGAGTGTTGATAAACTCTGATTGAACCCTAAAATGCAAAAAGGTTACAAAAGAAAATACAAATCTATGTAAAATTTCCATAGTCAAAGAGCCATTATTTTGAGCAAGTTAAACTGAAAGTTTGTTTTTTTTTATATACAACACTGCTTTTAACAAGGAAAAGCAGATTTTCAGACTTTTCTCCGACAGTGAGTTAAATAGCAGACAGTACTTTGACTCTTAATGTGTGAGTGTTGAAACTCTATATGTCCTTTCATTTTGATATATATTGTTGGGTGGATGTCTTTTCTCATCACAATTTATAAATTCATATCATAAATCATGCTTTCATCATATTTGTATATCATGTACATTAAGCCTTGCGTTCATAAAACTTTCGAGTAGGATTCAGAAATCAACCAATCAATTTACTGGATTTGTTGTTTTGAGCACAAATTTTGTACTCCGAGTAGTGAGTCAAGTTTCATGACCAGAAGCCTTGAACTCAGGTTTATGTGAATGCTTATTCATAAAAAAAAATTCGTAAGGGTTCCGTGGAACCCAGTGTCTCGCTACTTTTTCTGTTAATCGCAGGCTCAACAAAAATGAGGAAGTAAATCAATTAAAATATTCCTCTTGATACTATCTTTTGATTGTAAGAAGCTTCTGTCCAAGTTTGGTAAAAATCCAGGATAGTTTATGAATCTAATAAATGTTTAAAAACTTTAACTGCAGACTGAATGTAATGTTAACTGGAAGAAAACAAAATTTCCTTCTAGATACTAGCATTTGATCATAAACAAGCTTCTGTCCAAGTTTGGTACAAATCCAAAATAGTATAAGAAAGTTACCAAAATTTAAAAAAACTTTAACCACAGAGTGAATGTGTTGTTTCCTGGCAGAAAATCTAAGTCCATTTAAAAGTAAAATACAGAAAAAATGGACTTATTTTTTTACAAAATTTCCTTCCAGATACTAGCTTTTGATCATAAACAAGCTTCTGTCCAAGTTTGGTACAAATCCAAAATAGTATAAGAAAGTTATTAAAATTTTAAAAACTTTAACCACAGAGTGAATGTGTTGTTTCCTGGCAGAAAATCTAAGTCCATTTAAAAGTAAAATAAGGAAAAAATGGATTTTTTTTTTTACAAAATTTACTTCTGGATACTATCTTATGATCATAAACAAGCTTCTGTCCAAGTTTGGTAGAAACCCAGGATAGTTTAAGAAAGTTATTAAAATTTTAAAAACTTTAACCACAGAGTGAATGTGTTGTTTCCTGGCAGAAAATCTAAGTCCATTTAAAAGTAATATAAGGAAAAAATGGATTTTTTTTTTTACAAAATTTACTTCTGGATACTATCTTATGATCATAAACAAGCCTCTGTCCAAGTTTGGTAGAAACCCAGGATAGTTTAAGAAAGTTATTAAAATTTTAAAAACTTTAACCACAGAGTGAATGTAATATTTCCTAGCAGAAAAACTAAGTCCATTTATAAGTAAAATACGGAAAAAATGGAATTTTATTTTTACAAAATTTATTTCTGGATACTATCTTATGATCATAAACAAGCTTCTGTCCAAGTTTGGTAGAAATCCAGGATAGTTTAAGAAAGTTATTAAAATTTCAAAAACTTTAACCACAGAGTGAATATTTGTGGACGCCGCCGACGACAACGACGGAATGTAGGATCGCTATGTCTTGCTTTTTCGACTAAAGTCAAAGGCTCGACAAAAAAGAGTTGTTTTATAACGTTATGACATGATTTTAAAAGCAGTGGGATATTACCTCCTCTTAAATTTTTGTGTTCACAAATTTACCATGTCATCAAATCAAGTTACTGTTTTAGTACATATAATATTTTACAACAACTGAGCTCAAGCCTAGACAAAATCAGAAAAGGTTATAATAGCAGACTCTCTGCAGTAAAAATCTCAACGTGAAAAAATAAAATACCTTCTTCTCAGACTTTGTGTCAAAGTCGTCATCCGGAGGAAACATGATATTATCTATACAGCTTGAAAGAGATTCTCCCGCCTGAAATAAATAAACACATGATGTTATCTACAAATCAACCTTTTTAAACAAAATTCAACTGCATTTATGTAGTAACAAATACATCACTAATAATGCAATTAGTGATCTGTTTTATCTGAAACAATTGGACATTTTAAAAGCATTTGTTTTCATCAAATTTTCACAACATTGTTACTTTTAAATTTTTTCAGATTTCCAGTGCCAAAAATTAGTGAACCAGCTCTTTGAAAAAAGTTTTCAATTTACTTTTAAAGGGTATGGAATTTGTCTTTATTTTTGTGGAACAAATAGGTAAAAGTGTTCATTTTACAGTTTAAACAATTTTTTTGATTATTTCTTTTCAATAAGGGGTTACAGTGAACTTTCCTTCAGTTTTTGAAATCCTGTGCAATCTTATATCTCCTTGCTAAATTCAGTGGTCATTTTATTGACACAAATGAGAGTTTCATTATTGTGATTTCTTGACATGTTGCATACAAATTATGCTATCAAAATGTAAAAGGCTAATATTTTTGTTTGCAACACTTATCTCCTAGCACTTTTCACAATCAATATATGACAAAATTATGTGTTGAAATTGTGTCTTTTGCAAATAAGAAGAGCTATTACAAGCTGCAGAAATCAGACGAATAGTTTATGCCTGACTGATGGCTATCAAAAACAGCAGCAAATACTGTGGATATTTTTACGTGGTTACCACTTCCTGTGGATTGAGGAAAAATTGCCTTTTTGTGGATATTTGATTTCTTGGTTTTGCCTTTGTCTTTGTACAAGCCAAAAGAAAATTTATACCTTGTTAAAGATTTAAATTTGATGTTTACGTATAACAACGAAAATTGGAATTCCACGCAATAATAATATATCAAAACAAACATGGATTCCAATTGGGTTTTAAAACAAAACATACATGTATATGGTCCACAAGCCACGAGACTGCAGCCAAAATGTGTGGCCAGGTGTGTGGAGATCCTAAGGCAAACATCTGGCTCTTGGAAATCATGAATGGATAACCTATCTGCTTGAATATCTTAGGTATCTGTTCTTCTGGCTTCTTATCCAACTTAAACTTTGGAACTAGAAATCCATACAGGAACTGGAAAAAAATATAACAATGATTAATGGGTACATTTATATAATTGAGTTAAATTTCATGTCAGTCAGGGATTAATTTAGAATTTGTATTGATCAAATATTTGTGTATTAAATTTTTTTTATCAAAAAATAGAATTGAAAGAATTGATTTATCATAATTAATTTGTATTTCTTGCAAGACTTGAACCCATGACACAGATTTTGTTGTGTTTCTGTTGTGTTGTAGTTCTCCTCTTATATTTGATGTGTTTCCCTCAGTTTTAGTTTGTAACCCAGGTTTGTTTTTTTCTCAATCGATTTATGAATTTCGAACAGCGGTATACTACTGTTGCCTTTATTTGAAGTGCTCAACACATTTCTAGCATAATCTTTACAAGTAGTGTCAACATCAAAAATGATAGAAATTCTAAAGGCATCAAAATCATCTAATTGAAGAGCATGACAACCAAAAGAAAAGAGACATTGCAGATAAGCTTAAATAGTCTTCCATCATTAAATTTATGAAATGGAAATTAAATGACAATTTGTATCATTCAATCGTTTTCCATTGATTTAATTTGAGTAGAGTTATTTCCCTTTGTCTGAATAAATACAGTTGGATAGTGGTCAAATTGAATTCTCAGGAGGACTCAATTGCAAAGTAAAGGACGTTGAAGTAAAGAATTTCAGTATAAGCTTAAACTCTTAGAAAGATGAAACTATGTAGCAAACCCTCTAGCTAGACCTTTCGAAATAAAAGTTTATGTGAACTTTCTAGTCCAGGATATGATTTTTTTAAGAAACTTCATAGCATTAGGAGCTCCTATGAGAAATTTCATTGTCCATATTTACAGAAGTGCACCTTTTCAGACTTGCTTAATACAAAATGTGTCAATTTGGTAAGTTAAAACAGAAAATCAACCAGTTTGCCATCAACATGATACCCAAGGGAAGTAACTCCAACCCAAATTAAGTCAATGAAATTGATACTCTAAATTCAGAAATTATTGCGTACATTCATTATTGCGATTTTGTCATTTTAGACTAAAATGCTATTTTAATTTTTGCGATATTGAGATTAATCCTGTTTAATTCATATAAAAAATTTCAAAATACGAGTTTAAATTATTGCGATTATAACCCTGTCGCATTTTTCGCAATAATAAAAACATCGCAATAATTTCTGAATTTACAGTATAGTAAAAACGCCACTGCATTAGGTGTTATAGGAGTTCCTATTGGAAATTGCATTGTCTTTATTAACAGACATTCATCCTTACAGGCTTGCTTAAAAGTTGAAAAAGAAAATCAACCAGTTTACCCTCAAAATGATACCCAAGGGAAGTAACTCAATTTAAGTCAATGAAATTCCAAAGCCACAGCAAGTGAAATCAATGTTATATATTGTCTTTTTTATTGGTGAGGGTCATTGAAACCATGAAAGTTTACACAAGTATAAACTGTTTCATTGTGTCAGGAGTTCACATTCCTATACAGGTGAAATAGTTCAGTTAATGTTGATCAAATACTTTACCTGGACATCATTTTAAGTCCATTTTTCACAAATTTTAAGAAATAAAGGTACTTTTACAGAATTTGTTGATGCGTTAACTTATTCATAGCTCTCACTCCAAAACCTATCATAAAGCCCTTTAAAACTTGTACATTATGAAAATTTCAGAAATTTCTAAATCATGTTAAACATTGTAAGAACAGCATTATCAAAAGAATAACATCTTTTTGACAAGCAAGATAAAATATTTTAAACCTACTCTTCCACGACTTTTTGTCTACAATATAAATACCTCAAATATCCTGAAGAAATCTTTGCTTGTTGGAGACTGCAGTAATTTGTCAGATATACTGTGAGGGTACAACTTCTCAGATAAAAACTGAAAAGTAATAACAAGAATTAACATTGGACTTGAATACACTTCCTAGTCTATACAATTGATTGGTTCATTTTTGGTGTTTAATGCCACTTTAACCATTATTGGCTATTTTCTTTTATTATTTGAAGAAGCCAGAGTGCCCAGCGAGAACCACTGACCACTGACAGGAAAGCGGCAAACTCAATAACTGGCAAACCCAGTCATATAAATAAGAGTTATCTGCACCTACCATGTTAAATAATAAAATATTGCAAAAACTGCAAAGGGATAGCATGGATAGGTTTGTTGTGTTGATGAATCAATGATGTATACCCATCATCCCCTCTTATTCATATTTCAATTTTGTAACTCAAGTTTTCACACATAAGACTAATCAAGGCCACATAGATCTATAAATAAGATATGAAACTGGACCAACTTATTTTTGCAGAAACTTTACTTCGCGTTTAGCCCTTTCTAGCCCAATTCACGGCGATTTATTTTCACGATTTTCAAATTTACTTGATGTATAAATTAGACAAGGAAAGATCCAAGTTTAAAATTTTTGCGACGATTTATATTTGCGTTATTTTTCTTTCTCGCGAAAGTCACGAAAATAAATCGCTACAGAAAATTAGTTGGTTTACAGTATAAGGAACAACATCAGAGGGTATGAGGTCCTGACCCTGTCTTTTCTGGGAGGGGACTTTTTTGGATTACAAAGGTCAAACATATACCATTCTTTTTACGATTTGTACAGGAACTTTGGCTTTCTTAAGAGGGACCTTTCACTTAAATTCAAATGGTCTTTAACCTTTCATTATTCAACTTAAATTTGAACCCCTGGCTAAGGTGATTTTTTTTCTTCTGTTGCCATCAATCCACAGTAAGTGGGAGTCGAAAAAACTTCTAGATATTCCAAGTGGATTGGACATGCCATTCTTTTCTTCAGCATAAGATCTTCACCAACAATTAATTCAATGTTAAAATGAATGCAGCGTCTAGATGGAATATTTTAAAAGTTCTGGGGCAGGTAATTATTGAACTAGGATTCTAAAACTTAACTTTTTGACAAAATTTGAGGTTCATTTTGAGTGGGCATGCAAAGCTAGGCAGGTGACAAAGACAAATTTCACCTGAGCCGTTATTTAAACAAGGAGTTGTTTGATTATGTTACCTCTACTAATTTCTTTATACAATTTCTCTGGAATAATTTGTCCGATACAGGTCTAGGGTCCTTTGGTACACAGTTCTGTCCACGGAGACCAGCACTACTACCTCTCGACAACCTGAAAAAAAAACACCAGACAGATAATAATACTAGTATATAAATTAATAATATGGTTCTTCTGTACTTTTCCATTTTGTGAAGTGAAACCAACAAAAAAAGAAAAAAAAAAGTATAATTGCACAAAAGTACACTCGTCTCAGACCCTTGTTTCCTGTTGCAAGACAGTGCCTAATTTTTGCTGTATTTGCGATAAACTTTTGATTCCACAGTTTTAATTTGACGAAATTGTTTTTTTAAGATTCTATTGGCCGCTAGAGTAGATTTTACAGGCACAGGCTGGTGGTCCTGTGTTTTAGCTAATACTTATGATTAGCACTTTTGATGCAGAGATTCCTACTTGTAATCTTTTCATACGAAAAAAAAAAGGAAAACAGGGATATATGTCAATGAGACAGCAACCACAAGACAAAAATATCCAAAAGACATCTAGAGGTCTAAATACAGTCTTCAACATTGGACAGGTGTCTACACAATACGTCATGGTCTAAATACAGTCTTCAACATTGGACAGGTATCTACACAATATGTCAAGGTCTAAATACAGTCTTCAACATTGCACAGGTGTCTACACAATACATCATGGTCTAAATTGTCGATAAGCAACATTGCTTATTAATTCAAAGTCACTGGACCATGATCTTGTGGGCAGGGCCTAGAAATGGTCGACAAACTGAGATGTACTGATAGTAATGCAACTTTGTACAAAATATCATTGATCTGTCACAAGTAGTTCTTATCAAACTAACTTAAGCAGAAAACTTAACAATTGTTGACTCTGGAAAAGCAATCTTTATGTCTTGCTTTCCGCGACTTTTGTCGTAGGCTAGACAAAAACAATAAAAGATCTATTAACACCAAATTTTCAAATAACAAAAACAACAAGAAATGTCTTTGACATTAGTAATGTCAAGGTTCCTGACGTGGGAAAGGTACACGGTAGCACGGTTTTACTAGTTTTTTTATAAATCTCAACCTTTTCTTCTGCCTTCATAAATTTCCTTGCTTTGTCTAAGATTGATTTTAAAAGACGATGCAGGGGTTCAACAGAATGTGGGTCCAAGGTCTTGCACCAGTCCTTTCTTGGAGGGAACTTATTGATTTTTGAATTACGAAGGTCAAGTGCCTTCATTCCTTTACATTAATGCTTTATTCAGGAACAATGTCTTACATAAAGAGAGCCTATCACTTGAAAAATTAAATATACCAGGACCTCCCATTCTCTTGAACCCAAGTGATGTTCCCATAAAACAAATAAAATCTATTTTCAATTTTACATCTTCTGTAGGCATTTATGTGTACTGTACAAGATGATCTTTCAATTAAGTATGATCTAGCTAACTTCCTAAAGAGCAAGTAATAAATTGGAGAGGATAGCATTATCATGATTATAGACACACCTTTCTATTCTTGAGAGACCCTGCCTTTATATGTTATTACTGTCAGTATCCCTGGCCCTTACTCTGTCTTGAACCCTAGTCTTACTTTAACCCTAAACTTAATCCAATTCAAATCTAACGCTTACACAACACGGGTTTTTGGTGGGGTTCGTGTTGCTCAGATTTTCATGTTGTGTTTTTTGTACTGTTTGTCTTTTCATCGTTTTTCTTTTTTAGCCATGGCATTGTCAGTTTGTTTTTCGACTTATGAGTTTGAATACTGTGGATTCATTATTATTTGTTGGATACCACTGTTTGTGGATTTCGTTGGAACAAGTGAACCACGAAATTAAATGTTAAATGAATGACATATTTTATATAGGCTTGTACCTAGACTTCGGCAAAACCATGAAATTAAATAACCACAAACATGTAAATATAAAAAAGAAGATGTGGTATGATTGCCAATGAGATAACTCTCCACAAGAGACCAAATGACACAGAAATTAACAACTATAGGTCACCGTACGTAAATTTTCCTTAATCCATGAAAATAAATAGATCCACAGTATCCCTTTGCTATCTTTTCCCTCTCTTTTACCATACAATAAATGAAGGAATGTAGCATACCTTCCCATAGGCATTCCTATTCTGCCAAGGGGACTCTTCCCTGAACCACTGCTAGCAGATCTACCGAATGACAACCTAGAGGTTCCAGAGGATAGTCTACTCTGATGCTGTGTATTATGTGTGTTGTCATTACGAACTCTGAGAGGTGCCACAGCTGAAGATGACCGTCTGCTACTACTACTGCCATGGCTACTGAGTCTGTTTCCTCCAATACTTGATTTCCTCATTTTAATGTACTTTTTCTAGAACTGGAATAAACTGAAAAATATGGAAACGTTGTTTAATTTGTAACATTGTCATTTGATATTACATTTGTAGAACAATGGGAGTCATTAGTTGAGTGAGTGATGATTGTTTTACGCTGCATGACAAGGTATTGCCTCATTTTGCAAGCAGGTCATTCTAAGGCTGAAAACACTTTCCATTCATAGATATTGTTGAAAATCAATGACTTTTTCCAGTTTCCTGTTATTTCAGGCAGACTTTGAAACCCTTGGGGATTTCATGATTTGGAATTAATTCTTAAAAGAATCTTCTTATCTTAAGTAAGTTTGAAAAATAGAATGGAAAAACATTCCAGGATTTTTCTGGGACATTTCTCTTATTTTAAAGACGGTACCATCTAGAAAACAGTTGAAACCACAATAGATTTACAGAAAGACATTAAAATTGAGAACAATTGCCAGGGGGTATAATTTCATAAAAAAGGAATATATACAGCGAAAATAAATTTGGACGAATTTATTCAAAAATATGATATATTCTTAAATCAAAAGGGGGAGGGGAGGACTACACCCTCTCTGTCCCCTTGAATCCACCAGTGTTTACAAACAAATCTCTATTTTATATATGACTTTAGTCATGTTCAGTAATTCACTGTTTTAAACACTTGTATCTTAGGCCTAAAATAAAATATTGTTTGTTTCCCCAATCCCGACCGACCCTGCAAAAATGGTGCTACTCGTAAAATTTTATTGTCAAAACTAAGTCAAATATTATTTTAATCATTTTGGATTTTCAGGCTTGCCAGATAGTCCGATAATGTTCAAGCTTTTCGGAAAAATAATATTATTTCCCTACCTACCTACCCACACCTGGTTTGGCAGGGTCGGGATTGGGGAAACAATCAATATATTAATTTAGGCCTTACAACAGTTCAGATTATACAGTCAAGTAATGGGAATTGGAAAAAGGAAATAATACAGTTTATCTCATTTATAAGATAAACCAATTTAATGAAAGAGATTTAATTAATTTATTTATTTTCCATATAGAAAGAACTATTGCATCATTTGGATCCATATCTTCTTTCCCTCTAATTAACATCACATGACTCAGAATCACTCTTCAGCCTTACATTGAACTAGCCGCTTTTGTAGATTAGTGAAAGTTTCAAAAAAAAACCCCACCTCCCCTTGCTATCTACCAACAATTTCTTTTTGTTTTTTTTCATTTTTCAGACTGTCCAGATAAAAGCCGGATTCCTAATGTTATTGGACTAAATAGAGAGGACAAACTAAGCCGACAGATTTGCTTGCTGAATCATACTTTCCAGGACTCGATATATGTTATTGTTAATTTAAGTGAGTGGTATGTACTTTTACCAGGATATTCAGCCACCAGCAGAGTGAAAATGGAACTATCATTATGATTTATTAGTTTGTCCGCCAGGAACGCATTAAACTTTAATTTTTCTTTCTTAACTATCATCATTTATCTTGAAAATAATTTGTTCATTATATTGTAATAAAATTCGTAAGGGTTCCGCGGAACCCAGTGTCTCACCAACTTTTTCTGTTAATCGCAGGCTCAACAAAAATGAGGAAGTAATCAATAAAATTATTCCTCTTGATACTATCTTTTGATTGTAAGAAGCTTCTGTCCAAGTTTGGTAAAAATCCAGGATAGTTTATGAATCTAATAAATCTTTAAAAACTTTAACTGCAGACTGAATGTAATGTTAACTTGAAGAAAACAAAATTTCCTATTAGATACTAGCATTTGATCATAAACAAGCTTCTGTCCAAGTTTGGTACAAATCCAAAATAGTATAAGAAAGTTATTAAAATTTTAAAAACTTTAACCATAGAGTGAATGTGTTGTTTCCTGACAGAAAATCTAAGTCCATTTAAAAGTAAAATACGGAAAAAATGGATTTATTATTTTACAAAATTTCCTTCTAGATACTAGCTTTTGATCATAAACAAGCTTCTGTCCAAGTTTGGTACAAATCCAAAATAGTATAAGAAAGTTATTAAACTTGCGAATATGAGCTGACTTAGTTGGGGATCATGGCCCTCGTTCTCTTAAGTATTTAACCTTGAGGAACTTGAGCATCCTTTGTCACCAATGGTGCACAGACTTGTCAATTAAATCAATTACATCGGCATTCTGCTATCATGTCAGATCTTGTCATTTGAAGCGAACTGTGGCTGCTACTTCCACATAAACTGATTGCTTGTTATGCTTTGCCTTAAACTTGATTCTTTAATTAACTAATTTTAAACCATGTGAACCAACATTAAAAATGAAAAAAAAAATTCAGGATTTTCCACATTTTTGCCACGTTCAACTCTGATTTAAGTGGATTTTAAAATCAAAACAAAGTGTGGATAAAAGAACTGTACTGATTTATGGCCGTATCAGAGGTGTAGTCCTGGAACCTCAAAGTCTCTCTTGTATAAACTGAATACACAAAATAGGTATTCTTACAATTATATTGGCATCCAAGCACATATACACTAATTTAATACCCTTATATATCACATTATAAACAATCTATACACTGTAAATTCAGAAATTAATGTGCATTTATCATGTTTATTATTGTCACTGTTTACTGGTCAAAATGTGAGATTTAATTAATGTGATTGCCAAAATTTTATGAAGGAATATTACAACTGAAATTATGAATGCAAGTTTTTGTTACTGGGAACCAGATAGTCACATTTTTTTGCAACATAGCAAAAATTATTGAATTTACAGTATAAAAGATTGGCAACAGGTTCTCAGAGTTATTGCTTAAAATTTGTAACGGAAAAAGTTGGCAGATATGTGAACATGTGAAACAAATGACTGTATATATACCATATAAAAATACAAACAAACGTATTTATATGTCGTATAAAGTCAATGGAGGCATAGAAAACTGCATTTTATCATGTTTATGACTCATTTCCAAATATTCTAAAATATTAAAATACGATGGAAACGTATTGTAAGACTTCAGAATTTCTCTCTAAACAAGGAATTATTTATATCTGGAATAATTTTGAATTCAGGAAAATTGATTAGAAATATATAATGAACTAACCTAATAAAGGAGTTCATACTGAAATATCAGTGAAAGTAAAATTAACCTCATCCATGCTTTTTATTTTGGTTAGTTTTCAACAAACATTTTTATCAAATTTCAAGAATTCAAAATTATTCCAGATTCAAATAATTCCTTGTTTGACTTGATATTTAAAGATAAAAAGATGTGGTACGATCACCAATGATCACCAATGCAACGACTCTCCACCAGAGACAAATAATGTAACATACACTTATATATTTCTTCAAAATGCAATAAAAGTAATGAAAAAAATGACTGGCAGGTCACCACAACAATAAAAGCAAAGCAGATGCTAAAGCTTCTTTATATATACCACTTTCCACATTTTAATCTGATAGATTCTTTTTTTTATCAAAGTGGGTCACTGATACTTGATTCGGTCAGCAGGCAAAAATTGCAAATCTCCAATGCTTGCTATATAATCCAATTGTAAAATCTAATCTACAATCTCAACAAGTTTTAAACAAAACAAAAAGGCAAGCAAATAAAGGATGATACATTACATGTTTTAAATACTTTTAGAATTAAATGGCTGTTTTAAGATTTTTACATATTTTAAAAGGTTAAGTTTTAATCAGAAATTATTATTACTTTACTAATGCATTTATTTTTTAAATTTTGGTGATCATTATTTTTTATAAATTTAATAATCTTTATTTCAATTTATAATCTATTTAACAAACTTAATTACATAATGTACAAATATAAGTTTTTCAAGGTTTTTTCTTTGAAATTAATTATTTTCACTAGCTGCATTTTCAAGCATTAATTTCTTTAGGTTATGTAAACATGTTTTTCCCCTTTCAAGCCCTAAATTTTGAGAAAAATTAATTTTCTTTGAACCACAAAGCCCTAAATTTAACATGATACAAACTACCACTCCAAAGCCATTTTACTCAAACATAGTATTTCCTTTTGACCCCCAAGCCCATACTATACCCTAACTGCCCTAATGAAGCCATAATTAACTTTCTCTTTGTTTTTTAAAGCCATACAAGTTTAATCTTTGTACCCATAACCAAACTCTACAAGATTCCTTTTTAATTAGACATACTAGTGAAAACACAAATTGTGAAGCCATGTATTGCTTTGTTGTTTCAATTATTTTTTTCTCGTTTTCTTGTGCATTGTGTATTTTTTTTACAGTTTTTATTATATCTACAATTATAAACCAAAACAAATATAAATTATACAAATAAATAAAAAACAAAAGTTACACAAATAAATTTAATAAAAAATTATGCAGTAAAAGCAAATCAAAATGTGCACAAATAAATCAAACAAAAAAAATATAGAAATGAAGAAAACAAAAATGTGTAAAAATTAATAAAAAAAAATAGAATAGAAATAATTTAAATAAAAAATATACATCAATATTATAAAACTTTAACACCATAATTACAATACTATGTAAAATACCATCTTTAGAATCAACTAGAAGCTCTCAAGAGCCTGTGTCGCTCACCTGTATTTACTGATGCTTTGGAAATCATGTAAAATAAGGTTAAAATCATAATTAATAGTATTAGATATTATAATGATATCTAAGATAATAACAAAAAACTGCAAAATATTTGTAAAATTACTAACTCAGGGGCAGCAACCCAATAACGGGTTGTCGGATTCGTCTGAAAATTTCAGGGCAGATAAATCTAAATCTGATGAACATTTTTGCCACCTGTCAGATTTGCTCTAAATGCTTTAGTTTCAGATATATAAACCAAAAACTGCATTTTACCCCTATGTTCTATTTTTAACCATGTCGGCCATGATGATTGGAAGGCTGGGTCATCTGACATATTTTCTAAACTAGATACCCTTATAATGATTAAGGCCAAGTACGGTTAAATTCATCTCAGTAGTTTCAGAGAAGAAGATTTTTGTAAAAGATTACAAAAATTTATGTAAAATTGTTAAAAAT